AGAGTAATGAATCTTCTGCTAAAACATGGAGCCATACGTCGCCATATGTTTTGTCTTTTGTGCAAGTGGTGACGAGTGGAGCAAGGCCCTTAGGGTCACTGCTCGTAGGAAAAGGAAACAAAAGAAACAGAGTAATGAATCTTCTGCTAGAACATGGACTCATACGCCGCCATATGTCTTCTTTTGTGCAAGTAGTGACCGGTGGAGCAAGGCCCTTAGGGCCACTGCTCGTAGGAAAACGAAACAAAAGAAAGAGAGAGCTACGGTAGTAAGTAGTTGTAACGTGTAATCCATAACTGCTGAAAAGCAGACCTGACTTCGGATCCATAACTATATTGTTGGCCTGCTCCATTCTCACACGAAATTTGCTGAACGTCTCTTGAAACGTTGGGTCCTTCGGGAAAAGAACAATTCAACAAGGAATTCACATGCTCAATTTATTTTCCTGTGCCCTTCGATATTTTAGAAGGGAGGGGCACCATTAGCTACCTCAGCCAGCCCTCCCCAAACATTTTTCAACTCTATTTATTGGGGTGTGCGCGCATGGTTGCGAGTGCACTAGGCGTCGCACGTGCGGAGCTCGCGCGCATGCGATGCGCCGGAGTATAGGGGTGATATAGAAGGTTATGGACGGTTTAATAAGGGTGTTGGCGGCTGTTCGGGGCTGTTGGGGTGGTATATGGGGTATTGGGGTCTGCAATGGGGGTGTTGGCGATATTATTAGGGGTTATGGACCCCCCCCCAAAAAAAAAAAATGCGGGGTGCCGACGACCCCCGACCAGTAGGTTCCGACCAGCCGACCAGTCAAGGGTCGCCAACAGTCGGGGTGTGCAACCCTGGCCCCCTTCTCAAAAACTGCTCTCTCCTCTCGCATTCGGCGAACGAGCCCGAAAGCTCGCGGCCGAACGTGAACGAGTGCCAAAACCCTCTGAACGTGAACATATTAAAAAAAAAAAAAAATCTGAAAAAAATCATGGCTACGATCCGAACGTCCGAACCGCCGTCCGGACGGTCTGGATTCAGTCCGGAATCCAGACGTCCGGTTTGGAAGGTCCGGATCTGGCAAATTTCGAGAAAAAAAAAAAAAACGGTCCAAGACCCTTCCCGATTGAGGAGCCAGGCCCCCAAAATTGTTTTGGGAGTTTTTCAGGCCCGTTTATGCTTTTTTTTAGGGTCCGGACATGCTCTCTCTCTATAGTAATTTATTAGACAACCCCAAAATTTTCATTATTAATAATTCATTACCTTTTATTAGTTTTTCTACTCGAAAAGTCTATTTCTCAAAGTGGCCCCTTGAAATCCAAATAGTACGCACATTGAAATACAAAACACACATATGTTCTATTCGAATAGTACACAAGTATGCTCTATTCAAACAGACGAGTGTTCTAGTCAAATACAATTCACGGTTGTTCCATTTGAATTACCATGGGCGGTTGTTTCACTCAGGCATGAGCTCGCTACACTACACAGTGTGAATGCTTCATATAGTCGGTATCGGGGCTACACAGTTTGAATGCTATGTACAGCCGATGTCGGGGCCGACCGCTCGAATACTGGGCCCAGTGCCAACGAGATCTAGTGTTTGAACAGTAGCCCCATTTCTTCTCCGACTATTGATTTTTTTTCTTTTTTCTTTTTTTTTACATTTGGACCATTTCTCGATTTATGTGCCACATCCTTACACATTGGCCACACTAATCTTCTTCGTATCGTTCCAATTTTAACGCATGTCTTGAAGGACAAGCCCTTGTGTTCCCATAGCATAACACATGTTCGCATACAGGGTACTATTTTTTTGGGGGGCCCATTTTTAAAAGTTGTTACCTTGTATCCATAGCATAATGCACATGCATTATATACAAATACAACGCACCCGTGCGTTCTAACTGTAATTAACTAACGTGCGTTTTGTTCGAGGGATGACTGTAGGGCCTGTAATGGGCGTCGTCTCCACAAGGCGCCTTCAAGAATCCACCGAAGAGCTAAGGTTTCTTGACGACTCTTTGGTATAATGGATGGGACTAATTGGGTGGTTCCGGAGATTCTGACTTTTCTTACTTCTAAAATAGGTTTGACATTTTCAATCGCGTTAACAAAATGCGTGATTACATTCATAGACAAGTCACGTACTATAAAACAAGAAAGATTGAAACCCCACCCGAACGGGTGGGTAATTGGTACATATCATGCATGACATTCAATTCAAAATGAAAGCTATGCACAATGATTTTTGATAAGTTTTGCCCAGGAACTTGCTTCAGAAACAACAAAACTAACTCAAGGGTGGTACCCGTAAGGCCAGGATTTCCCGGCCATTTTTTACGGGTACATAATTTCATTAAAACACGAATAGAGTCAAGAGTTCCTCTCTCTCTCTCTCTCTTTCTCTCTCTCTCTCTCTCTCTACTTGAGAATCTTGACTCTAAATACATCCGCTGCTATTCATCTCTATC